TTTCGCATACAGTAATATCAGTTGACAGTCTTCCCAGAGTGCACTTTTTAATAAGTCAAGATAGCTCTGTGAGCCAGCTGTACCTTAGGTTCTGTGAACTTACCCTTTAGAAAGATGAATAAATGGTATAAAATATCTCCTAACAATTGCAAGAGAAGATATATTTGTTTTCAACAAACCTATGAACCAGAAAGATGTTTAAATGAAATGCAACAATTAATTTATTTTTATTTATTTTATTTATTAGATTTGTGCGCCACCCAAATAAAATAAAAGGTAAAATAACTAACATTTCTTCATGCTGCCAGAAATCTTAATATTTGCATGCATATATGAGAAAAAGAGTGCAGATTGATATTAAAGTAGGTTCCATATTCATGTAATCCAACCGCCACAACTATTACACCTTAACCATTGGTTGTGCTTCCTCTTTGGACGGTATTTAAGTTTTCATACCTTTGTTTGAATATTGGCTTCAAGTTTTTCTTCCATTTTGGGTGATATGCTTGTTATAATTGCTAGTCTTTTTGTGTTTTATTTTTGCATGTTATTGCATTTTATAAAATCACTTTGACTGGCTTTTGCCTTAAAAGGAATCTGAGAAATAGTTAAAATAATTATTTATTCAGGAATTGCATGTATTGTAATGTTGGACACATAGTACAGTACTATCAGTCACTTGTGATATATCAACCTGAGGAATGATAATGGGCTAGTTTGGGTTTACCTCACTTTTCCTAAAGAAGAGAAATTGATGGGATCTACTATGTTTGGGGAGACAGTTGTATATATTAATCATATAAAGACCCTTATGAACATATTCAGCTTTATATTAATTTCAAAATATTAACAAATTAATAACAAAATATTAACAAAAGAATTGACGTATTACCTACTGTATACAATTCGTTTGGACAATCATATTCCAAAAGATGATATGCAAATGCCTACTCTTCCTTAGCATGCATTTACCTCATTCCTTTTTTGTGTGCAAGCTATTAAGGAAAGTGAAAAATATGCCAGAAAGTTGCAGCAAATGTAATTTTCAACAATGTCTGAATTACATGATATGTCTTGTGACCTGGTTTCATATTTTAGCTTATATTCATAGTTTGCCAGTACTGACAGTTCACCTGTCACTAAATGGTTGAAAGTAGACTTTGTTGCTAGGGTATTAGTCACTTCATGAGAGAGGCTGATTTAAATTGTATGGGCAAATTCAAATGGTAGAACCTTCTAGGTCATGGGTGTCAAATTCGACTGCATCATGTGATGTATCGTTATGTTTTTTGCCTTTGCGGAGCCAGGGTGGGCATGGCCTGCACATGACGCATCTGGCCTGAGGGCTGCCAGTTTGACAGACCTCTTGTAGGTAGTAAGTACGAGAAGAAACAGTAAAAAAATCCAAGATTCTATGCTTACCATGGGAAATCAGCCTGGATAGGTTCCTTTCAAATCAGATTGAAACAATATTATTGGGATTTTAAGCAATGCAACATTGTCCTGGATCTTCTAAATGTAGGCCATTTGAATATGGCCTAAATCATTTTCTTCTAGGTTAGTAACACAGAATACTCTATCTAAAAATGAAGACAGTATGTGATACTTGTCTCTTTAGAATGTTAATTTTCATTTTGATGTAGATGTTAATTACATTGCTTAATTCCAATAAGCCTAATATACATTTTGACAGATATCACTGATTGTCTCCGTCAATTCCTATTCTTTACTTTAAGTTAAGAATACATTAAAAATAAATTGTCAAATGAAAATACATTTTTCTTTTTTCTTTTACTTATTACTAGACTACTTGTAAAATGTTGATATTACCATACTATCATGTAATTGAATGTACAGGAAATAAATATACAAAGAGGATAAATGAATCCACTTTGACTGCTTTGCAAGACTAATAACGAAATGTGCAAACCAAGCGTTTTATATATGTCACAAACAATGTGCAGAAAAATACATAGTGGTTAATACATCTAAATCTTTTTGAAACAATTCTTTAATTACTAGAAGGTTGCATTTAAGCTTACATTAAACAGTTGAGATAGTTGGGTTGAATACTCCAATGCTGCTATAGGTTTTCTGTAGGTTTCAATGGAGCTTGCAAGGTTAAAGAGAGAAGGTACCATAATAGTGGTTGGTGAATACTTATGTAAGCCCCAGTGAAATTGTTTTATGAATTGTGCCCAAGAACTGCAATGTGTAATTTAATTCACAAGATCATTGCTGTGATCTTCCTCGAAATGTATACTCATACCTTGGAATGAAATTCACAATAAATGCCAATAGCGTTAAAAGAAATAAATAGGTAGCATACTATACAGTAATTGAAGTGTATTTTTTTACTTCACATTTCAAATAAATGTAGACATATCCCAAAAACTTGTTCCATTCTCTTGAATCAACAAACACTAGGCACATGGAAATGTTTAAAAAGCATTACTGCATGTGCAAAGGAGCAACTGAGAGAGGAAACCTAAACATTTCCTTTTTAAGTATGATTCACAGGGCATTATCAGATTATTTTACAGTGGCAGCAGTCCTGAAATAATTTACTTTCAAGAAATGTAAGTGCTAAAGAATGGAAAATCAGAAAGAAAAACAGATAATTTCAAGTTTATAATTATTCTGCAAATTCAAGAATATATCAAACAAAGTACTTGCTATAGTTTAAAATAACAATGCTAGCAATTCAATCAGATAAGAAGCAGTTAGAAGAATCTCCTTAAGATCTTTAAAACAGTGTACAGTGTTTGGTTGTTTAAAAAGATAAAGTAATGTTAAGTTATAAAAATAGAAAGAAAACCAACAAATTGTCAGCAGAGGACTTTTAAAAATCTGTTGAGGTTAAATTATTCTGTCTCCTTTTTTCCCATTAGGGCAGCAACCCACAATATAAGTTTGTTGTGCTTTTTGAACCTTTGGCTCCTACTAACTGGGCTGACATATCCTCCATAGCTGTTATAACTATGCAGGTCCCTGAACTGAGTTTAAGATTTGCTTTATTCATTACAGAAAGTTGAAAAAAAATCAGTTTGCTTAAGACACAGCATGAAAGGCATAGTTTCTTTATATATAAATTGAACTAATGTTTATGAAAACATGAGAGATTATACTATGGGCTTACTTGGTCTTTCTTAAAGCAATCACAATGCTTTTAAAAGTATTAATTTTTCCCACCCAAGTTTATATAGTTTTGGAAAACTTGCAAAAATGTAAGAGAATGCTGTGTTGCTGGAGATACATTGAATGCATTGCTTATCCAAAACAATGTATATTTTCTATTAACAAGATGTGCATGTGCTTTCCAAGTGTGAAATTTAGGACTTCATTGATGTAAAAGTAGTAGAGGGATTGTTCTTGTCACTTAAGGTCTTGGTGTATTATTATTTCTTATTATTCTAACAAGAATAATATACAAATTCTTGGTTGAATTTAACCTGGCAATAGACATTTGTAAAAGACCAATCAAGATGTAGTTACAACAGCAGACACACAATTAGAATCAGGTCACATTTCCAACAACATCCACAGGGACCAGAAATAATGAAAGAGACACCATTCAGCCACATTGGGAATCTCCAATCAACAAACCACAGGCTGCTCACTGTGGAAGTGCCTTGAGTATTGCGTTCACTTCTTCTGCAACTGCTGTCAGGGCAAACTCAAACTGTTCCTGTGGACAGAACATTCAGAATTTATATTGTGGCGTTTCTAGAAATTCTCATGAAAACATTCAGGACATGACAGTTCGATTATTATTATTTTAAACGTCAGGGTTAAATTAGTGAGCAATCTTCCATATTGCTTGATAGTTGTTATTAAAAGTGACCTTAACTGAAAGAACCACTATTTAATACTGCGAGATGTTCACTGATGTGAAAGGATTGTGAACAAAAAATAATATATGAAAATCCTGTCAGTATGAAGCAGATAACTGAACAGCAAGATATGGAAAATAGGTGTCAAACCTGTTTCCTAGATCTTTCTCTCTCTCTGTCATAAATAACAATATGAGGCATATTTGTTGACTTTAATACTTGAATCCTTAGTTTTGGACTCCCAGTTTCTTTCTGGGCAAATATAGATACCTGTAAACTTGACTTAAATAATGGCGTTATTTGATAGCAAGATGTAGCACAGTTAAAGAAAATAATTACAATAAACTTAAACAACAGATAGGGATAGATTTAGCAAAATGGGAAAATTTACAGCTTTCTTTGATTGGAAGGATATCTACTATTAAGATGAATATTTTGCCCAGAATTCTATATCTGTTCCAGACAATTCCAATTAGATTGGGGAAAGACTTTTTCGAAGAATTGAATAAAATGGTGTTAAAATATATTTGGCAGAGAAAGAAGGTGAGGATAAAACTAAATTGCTGCAAAATGCTAGAATGAGAGGGGGTTTCGGTCTACCGAATTGGAAACTTTACTATCAGGTGACAAGTTTGATGTGGATCAAAGAATGGGTAACATTAAGGAATACTAGACTATTGAATTTAGAAGATCATGATTTGTTGATGGGGTGGCATGCTTATCTATGGTATAAGGGAATAAAAATACAGGGGTATTTTAGAAGATATTATATACGTGAGATAGTATTATTTGAAAATTCCAGTCTAGGTTTCAATGATTGAAGTCTTTTCAATTCTGTAATATTTAGAAGAGAACAAATTGTTAAATATAGTGAATTAATGGATGAAAAGTGGCAAATATCTGTAACTCAGGTGTAGGATGAGGGTAGAGGTTCGTTCTCCGAGCTTGTGAGTTAGTTTCCGAACATTTCATTACCAGGCTAGATAACATTTTCAGCAGAATTTATGGGATGTCAATGCTCCTCTGTTTATAAGGGCTTTGTGTGGTCAGTAGGTCTTGTGATGGTGAGGTTACATCAGGTGAGAGTCACAACAGATCAGGGTCTTGTGATGGGTCAGATGTGGGTTGTATCAAGCGAGAGTCTTGGGATGGGTCAGGGAAGGGTCACAAGTCATAGATTTTTCAAGAGGGCTAGCTCTTTGCATATTGTGGTTGGTCATTTGTTCTCTGAATGAGAATTTGGGGTTGATTTCTTTGTTAATCCATTTGTCTGTTTTCTTGGCTAACCATGGTATTCTCAGGAGTCTTCTGCAGGACCAATGTTCAAAAGTATCATGCTTTTCTATACTCCTTCTTCAAAGTCCAACTTTAATTTCCATAAACTGTTACACTTGCATGTAGGAATCTCATTTTGTAAGTATGGATACATCCTGGCATCTGAATACGTCTTGTAAGGCCTTCATGGTTTCTCTACCAAGTGCTAGTCTGTTGTGTATTACTTCATTATTGGTTCCTTTATTGTTGGTAATTGATTTTAAAAGGAAGAAGCTACCCAATACTTCAGTATTTTCGTTGTTCATTCTAAGGCTAGTTGTAACATCTATGGCCCTGGCCTTTTTTATATTTTATTTTAGATCCATTAAAAATGAGGATGAAAAAAAGGGGTGGAAAAGTCATTGTTTTGGTATTTTTTTCTCCAATGGAACAAACAGTGTATGCTTAGAATTGTCTGTTCTGATGAGAACACATTTGGCCTTAAATATTAATCAAACATTTGAAGAAGGTGAAAATCAAAACCAGAAAACTAATTTATTTTAGAAGTTTTGGTGGTTTGGACTTATAATTCATTTTATTGCATATTCCACCATGGGAGAAAGAGGGAGTCAAATCAATTACATTGTTTAAAAACAAGCTAGAAGCTAGACATGTGCTGGTAGTTCTCAATTTATGACCATAATTGAACCCGGAATTATGGTCGTAATCATGTTGATTATTAAGCAGATCACCATATCACCATGCCTAATTTTATGACTTTTGCAGCAGTTGTTAAGTGAATGCCATGAACATTAAACTAACACCATGGTTGTTAAGTGAACCTGTATACTCAAAGGGTGTTTTTTTCTAGTTGGAAAAAAAAAAAGTAAATTGTAGTCTGTGGCCAAATGGCTGCAAATAGCCATAAATGCGAGCTAGTTGCCAAGTGCCCCCATACAATCATGTGACCAGGGAGGGCACTTGGAAACCAGGTCATAAGTAGTTCTGGGAAGATCTGTTGTAATTTTGAATGATTGCTAAGTGACTAGTTGTAAATTGAGGACTACATGTAACTCTAACTAACTATTTTTTCTCTATAAATGAAATAAGCAAATGAAAAGAAAGCTGAGGAGGGAAATACATTCTATCCAACACTTTTTCTTAGTGAATTGCTTATAAATGCACATATAGCATATTCTGTCTCTAAAAATGAAAACCTAGTTGTGATGCAACTTTTTTTTTTAAAAAAAGCATTAATTTTCCATTATTGTTAATCTTGGAAATGATTTTTATAGGCAGGAAAAATAAATGTAACTAAACATTCAATGTATTTTAGTAAATAATTTTATGCCTTTGATATAATTTATTTAATTATTATTTTTATCTGGCTGGTAAAATACCTATTAGTCAAATATCAAATTATGAGAGTCTATTTTGATTTAAATATCCTGCTGCTTCTATCTTAGTATTTTTATCATGGAGATTTTATGGAGATTTTTTACAGATAATTTATTGGAACACAAATTTCTTTGACATAGTCTACTTTCTTCAAATGTACTAAATATTGTTCATTAATCAACTTTTTCCAATGTAGTTTATGACGGGGATGGGCAACTATAACCCCTTTACGACCTGTGGACTTCAACTCCCAGACTTCCTAAGCTAGCATGGCTGGCTCATGAATTCTGGGAGTTAAGTCCACAGGTTGTAAAGGGGCCATAAGTGCTCACCCCCTGGTTTACGGGAACATTTTTTGAATGTATCTGAGAGAAATAAATGTAGATGGGTAGTTTGTTTTAGTTACTGTATTATTTACTAATCTAAAGATGTAATTTCCCCTATTTTTTGGACTGTAAGACGCTCCGGACTATAAGACATACATAGCTTTTGGGGAGGAAAACAAGAAAAAATAGGGGATAGGCGGCAGCGATCCCTGCAGCCTGGAACAGCTGATAGGCCATATTCCAGGAGGCAGATCCAGCCGCCAATCAGCTGCTCATGCTAAATCAGGCTGTGCTGAAGCTGACCAGGCTGTTTGCTGCAAGGAGGCAAATTGCTGGGAGGCAGAGACCGAAGGGTGGGAGTTGATGGGTGGGCAGGGCTTTGGCAACATTCGCTGTGTAAGATGCACAGGCATTTCCACCCACTTTTCTGGCGGGGGAGGGGGGAAGAATCTGCATCTTATACACCGAAAAATATGTAATTTCATGTTAACAGTAATAAAAGAAATGTACAAAAACTAAGAATGGTTTATTTACATTATTTTAAAAATCTACATATGTTTAACCATATATAATTTAATTATTCCCAAATAACAATATATAGAATTCGTGTATTAGTATTTAAAATCGAAGTGACTGTACCTTTGTCTGGACCATTCCAGGTCTTTGATCTCTCAAATGCTCCAGAGTAGCAGCAATATCAATTTCTTTAGCACCTGCAAAGTTTGAAAAAAACAGAAATATCAGTTGGGATGCGTTTAAAGCAATGATCACACATGCTGCATCTGTCAATCTTCTACTGGATTCTCTTTGGGCCTATAGCTTAGTAAAATATTTCTTAGCAGACTTGGCAGGCTCATAAAATTGGTGTTATAAAGTAAGGGAGAAAATCCAAGGGTAGCTTTTCTTAGCATTAATTATTTTTTAAAACAATAATTATATCAAAAGAGAACAACTTTGTCTCCTAAGGGGGAAGAATACATCTAACTACCCATAGTAGCAATCACAAAGGGCAGGAATTATACATGCCAAAGGATTCAAAATTCTCAACAACACACTAACATAAAGTTGAATTTGCAGAAGTACCTTATCTAACTTTGATGAGAATGTGAAGAAAGACTTATGTGCTTATTTTACAAAAAGCCAAATGTAGAATACTAACCTGATGATCTCAATAATTATTTTTCTCCAGAGGTTGCTGGATACGCCTCAACTATATTTTTTTCAATCAACTTGCTCAGGAAGGAGATTCAAGACTGACAGAAGGAAATGTTTTTTACTACATTGCATACCTAAATGATGAAATTTGCTGCCAATAGTTGCGGTAATGACAGCCAATTTGGATGATTTTAAAAGAAGATTGGAAAGATTTGAACAGTATACCAGTGGCTCCTAATTCTGACTGCTGTTTACTGCTGCCACAAATAGTGGTTACAGGGAAGTAACAATGACAAGCATCTATCATCTAAATCTAGCATTTATTTTCCCTAAATGCATTAAGTGGGTCACTGTATGATCCAATATGCTGCGTTAGATGGCCTACTGTCTGATCCAGCAGGACTCTTTTTATATTTATGAAATTTCTGATGCCCTATTATCAAGAATGTAAATTAAAAAAGAAAATGAGTGTCAAGTATTCAGATATCATGTTAGCATGACACAGTCATCCACCTGGTCATTTTATGCCAGCTTGGTTCTTTGGATTGAAAGCAGAATAAAGCTTTCTTAGAAACAATGGAAAACTACCCTCAGAGAATGGTTACTCTTTTATCTGGAAACAGAGAGTAGCAGATCTACTGAAAAGGCCTCAGTCTTTTAACACTTTATATAGTTGTTTTAATGGGAAGTAGCAAATCTGACTTGCTAAATAGTATTTAGTATAAGGGTAGAAAACAATGTAGGAGAGAGGTGTCATAGAAGAAAGATTGATGGGTTATTAGATTACCTTGATGCAATATATTTTTCCCTAGAACAAATGTTAATGCATAACCCCATTAAGCAATTTTGCATTTATAGGTCGAATATGATTTGGACCAAATGTGCAAAATCAAAGAAGACATCCTAATGGACTTCTGACAGGCAGGACTAATGCTGTCAAACTGATTTACTTTTGCTTATTCCGTTGAAGAAAGTAGCTCAGAAGGCATCACTGAAAAATATGATCAACAAACTTTTTGGGATGTGAACTGCATGTCATTTATCATACTAAATCCCATTTGACCCTTTTCATCTCTTCCTGACTCTCCTACCTTGGGGATAGGCATACAGGTAGTCTTCAACCTATGACTGGTTGAAGTAATGATGGATCACCCAAAAGCTACTTATCTTCCAGTTCCAGAGTTCTGACAATTGTACACGCATCCTAGTCGAATAACTACATTTTGGATGCTTGGCAACTGGCTCCCCTTTATGGCAATTGCATTCCATGGTCATGTGACCATGATTTACAATGTTTTTGATATGTTTCCGGCAAAAGAATGCCCATGCCCATCGCTTAATATCCTCCAGAAAATAAATCATAAAATTGGGTCTGGTCAGGGGGCATCTCAATTTACAACTGTCATCATTAACTATTATTTTCTCCCCTATGTGCCTATGACAAGCAACATTTTAGACAGCCTTTGGAAGCCAAGTATAATGAAACAAAAACAATGTTTTGGTCAGCATAGGAGGAAAAATGTGTTGTTACATAAATACATCTGCAACAATTTCTTTCTCTTAAGGTCTCTGTTGTAAAGCACATTTTCAGCATACATGTACATATGTAACAAAAGCTTACTGTAACATCGTAGAAATTCATTCCATCCACACACCTACCCACTTGCTTTAAATAAGAACATGAAATTTAGAAGACGATTATCTAGCTTTGTGCAAAAAGAAAAAAAAATGTTCATAAACTGTAAGGAAGATGCTATAGAAAGGGGGCTATTGGGAATTAGGAAAGATCATTATGAAAGCATTATAATACTTTGGTTCATCAAGCATAACATCATCAATATTTATGAAAGACTTAAAGATTCATTTGTTTTCTATGCCCCTTTTCTGTTTTATTAACCCCAGGTTTGATTAATGTTGATGTTTAGTGTTGTTTTGCAATATAAATAAATTTGGGAAGGACTACAATGTGAAGGCGTGTTAAAGCTGTTTAGTTAAATGGCAAGGCTCAACAACAGAGCCCAGAGTTAGTGTCACCTCTAAGCTTTCAGCATCTTTCCTCAACTGCTCTGGCACATTCCTGTCTCCTAAACCAAGCAAATCTTAATCTTCTTTTGGCTCTCTCCTAACTGCAAGTAGTCTATGCCAGGGGTCCCCAACCTTTTGGACTTAGGGACCATCAAGTTCATAATTTTAAATCCCGCAGACCACTAATACGAATCCAGCGCGCCGCTTGCTGAAGTGCCTGGACTCCCATGATGGGATGGGGTACTTCAGGCACTCTCCCTCCTCTCTCTCTCCCACTTTCTCTTTTTCTCTCTCTCCCACTCTCTCTCTCTCTCTGATTCTCTGTCTCTTTCATTCTGTCTCTTTCTCTCTTTCATTCTCTGTCTCACCCTCTCTTTATCTCTCTCATCTCTCTCCCCCTTTCTCTCTCTCTCATCTCTTTCCTCTCCCCCTCTCTCTTTCTGATTCTCTCTCTGATTCTCGTCTTTCTTTCTCTCTCCTTCTCCTTCTTGCTCTCTTTCATTCTGTCTCTTTCTCTCTCTCATTCTGATTCTCCCTCATTCTCTCTCTCTCTCATTCTGATTCTCTTTCATTCTCTTTCTCACTATCTCATTCTGATTCTCTCATTCTCTCCCTCATTCTGTTTCATTCTCCCTTTCATTCTCTCTCTCATCCTCTCACGATCTCTCTCATCTCTCTCCCCCTTTCTCTGTCTCATCTCTCTCTCTCTCTCTCATTCTGATTCTCTCTCTCTCCTTCTCTTTCTCATCTCTCTCCCACTCTCATTTATTTATTCATTTATTTATATACTGCCCTTCTCCTGAAGGACTCAGGGCGGTGTACAGCCAGAATAAGAACACACAAATAGAAATAGAAATAGGAATAAATAGAAAATTTAATAACAATTTAAAATATATATTAAACAATATGGCCCATAACTAATTAAAAACCCATTTTTAAACCTCAAGAATTAAAAATTAAAGATTAAAAGTTAAAAAGAATTAGAATTAGGCCAGCCCGGCTTGTTGGAACAAAAGAGTCTTGAGGGCACGGCGGAAGGTGCATAGGTCCGGGATCCTCCGAATCTCCGGGGGCAATTCATTCCAGAGGGCAGGTGCCCCCACAGAGAAGGCTCTCCCCGAGGGTTGCCAGTCGACATTGCCTGACTGACAGCACCTGGAGGAGACCCTCTCTGTGGGAGCGTACTGGCCGGTGGGAGGTTATTGGTAGCAGAAGGCGGTCTCGTAGGTATCCAGGTCCTAAGCCATGGAGCGCTCTAAAGATGTTAACCAACACCTTGAATCGCACCTGGAAGACCACTGGAAGCCAGTGCAGCTCACACACAGGAGCTTTCTCTCTCTCTCTTTCATTCTCTCTCTTTTTCTTTCTCTCCCCTTTTCTCTCATCTTTCCCCATCTCTCCCACACTCTTTCTCATTCTCTCTCTTTCATTCTTTCATTCTCTCTTTTCTCTCTCTCATCTCATGGGCCAGCCAGTGTCTTGGGGCTGAGAGGAAGTCAAGCATCTCCCTGAGAGACTGAGGTGCGCAGAGCACCAATAAGGGCCAGAAGAAACGTCCGGGAGATCCAGCAAGAGACGAAGCTTCGCTCCCACTCTGGAATATTGAGCAAATCTCCATCCCCCGCCCTTCCCTTATCAGGCCAGGCGAGGAGTGACTGGGAGGGGAGGGACAGGGACAGAGACAGCCACTGGTGGGTTCAGCCGACAGGAAGCTACAGCAGGGGGAATAAACAGCCTGGGTTTGCCGCTACCCGTTGCTTCGGCCTGCCTGCACTGCCATCTTCCCTTGCACGAACTTCCCTCTACAGTGGAGATTTACAGCCTCACCATGAGCTGCCTGGCCAATCCCATATTCCAGAGCTCTAGTCACAGGACTGGCCATTGCTCATCCTGGAGCAGCTCCTCCACCCAGGTGTGCTGCGGACCGCCAAATTTTCTTGTGGACCACCAGTGGTCCGCAGACTGGTGGTTGACCACTTGTCTATGCTGTTGGCGAGCATAATTTCTGCTCACTCTCATTCTCTCCATCTTAATTGTAATTCTGCATGGATTTGCTTCTCCCTTCAATAAGATTTTATTAATTCTGGATAACTCTACATTTTAGAATCAAGAAATAAGCATAGTTTAAAATGTGTTATTTTTCCAGTTGATGCATGAGGGTACGCATATATTGCAGACTGGGGATGGATAAGGCTATGATTCTTCAAATGTTCTTGAATGACAACGTCGGCAGCTCTGGCTGGCATGTCCAATTGCGAGCAATATAGTTGTAGTTCAGTAACATCTGGAAGGCCACAGGTTGTCTGGATATTATTAGCATTTGCTGATTTTTACTGGCAAAGTAGTAGGAATCTCATGAAAGCAATCAACCTTGGACAACTATCAAGAATGACATTAGTTTCTTCAAATTTCACATGGCATATAGCTTTGGTGATAGTGATACTTCTTTTATCATTCTGACTAATGTCTATAACATATAGTGACATATTTTCCTGTGATGAAACTACATACAGCATCCAAATCTTGTTCCAGCAGTTCCAGTGTGATTTAAAAAATTTAATGTGAAGATGAGTAATTTAAAAATATATTTCTTATGATCAAAGAATTTGCTTTTTGGTAAACAATGACATTTCTTTGTTGGTTCTTGCAACTACCGCTTTATCAATCCACAACCTCTTAAAGAGCTCAGTGTGACAAGGAAGTCCATCCAAAGATCAGCAAACATCGGTAATTCAGGCTGATTTTGGGTTGCAAATGTCAAACTTAAATACATATGTATCCTACTTTATGAAGAACGCAATTATTCTTTTTCCTTTGCAACCACAATTAATATAGGAAAAGAATCCTGTGTATAAAAGCCAAGCTATAATTAAACAGTTTTCATAATTTAAACAATTATGCTACTGTCATAAATGACTCATGTATTTCATTAATTAAATAATGATCACTTTAAGAATCAGATGACTATCCTGAGATTGATTTGACGCTCATGTGAATCTCATAAAGCAGTTGTAAGCCACACATGCTGAAAAAACTTGCTTCCTTCTCCCAATCTTTAGCTGCTGCTTCAAAATTGACAGTAATTTTTTTTTTATTGCTAGTTTTTGTTAATTCAGCCCATAAACTGTTTTTTGCCTACAAAATTTTCCCCTGGAAGCTTTACATATTCATCTCTCTGGATTGTGAACCACTGGTTACTGCTTCATTGGTTCAGAGTGATTGCTCTCACAAGCTACTGACAGCACATAATTATTCCAAAGCATTTTTATGATTCTAAATATATTAGCCGTCTGTCATCAATTAATAGGCTTATCTGAATACAATTCCAAAATTTCTGCTATTAATTCCTTCTTTCCCTCAGTATTTAAGTAAAGAAATAAATATTTTTGCTGAAGCACTCTACCACTCCCTCCATACTTAAATGTATGGAAAATACGTAGCAATATTTTTAAAATAATCATTAAACAAATAATGGCAAAAGATAGTGAACTGATTAGAAAGCATCAACTCTATTTAATTTTAAACCAGATACACTTTTACCCTCCATTTTAGTTATATTATC